TTAGAACGAATTTGTTTCCCCGACGACGCATTGAAGAGGCATTCAAGTCCCGGGGCAGGAATCGCAAGACATACCTCATGGGGACATGTAATGACCGTGGGGAACTTGACGTCGTCTAGCTCTCTCGCCTTTGCAAGCGCCTCCATGATGGCGGGATGGTCTGATCCGAGGTTGGCAAAGACATAGCGAACACCAGCCTACAGGTGATAGCAACCAGTCAGTCCATTGCTCGCTCCTTGGAAGATTTGGAACAGTGCCAACATAGCTCTTACCTCGTAGAGGGCTTCAAAGAAGGCAAAAGACGCAGAGTAGGTTGTTCTGTAACATAATCAGTTAGCCACAGTAGAAAAAGTGCCAGGGCTGATTCAAGGCAGGCCCGGCTAATGATGTCTACGGTAGACAAAGTCGTACATACAGGCGTGCCATGGTCAGATGGAGCAAGAGAAAGATGTAGTGTAAGAAGTAAGATGACGACGAGTGGAGGTTAACTACAGCTGGCGCTTGCATGCGGTATGAACTACAGCTGACAGTTGTATATAATGGAACTTGGTGTTTTGATGTCTAGTCGGTATCTATTACCCCAACAGGTAAGGTGAATAGATAGCCCTGGAGAACGTATCTGGAGGACATCTTCCGGTCGGGGTTGCAATGGCTTTGAGCCGTTAACCCCACCGACCCGAATTAGCACTACGGTTTGCTTCCGAAGCCTGGAACCGAAGTCTTTTCCGTTCCTACTGCTGGCGCTTATTCACGGATACTATAACATTGCAATAGACTAATTCTTGTCAGACGTCCAGAGATCTTAGCCATCTGGTGCTCGCATCAGCATCTAGTGAAGGCTGATGCGGATTTCACCTGTAGTCTACTGATAGAATAACCCCCTTCGTGTATTCCTTGCTGACCTCATGGTTTAAATTGGAGGGAAATACATCATTTGATCTGAATCCCTAGAGCGGAGTACACTGTGACATCTTGATCTGCCTTTCTGATCGATGAATGAAGTAAAAGGCTGCCGTTTCCGAGAAAGAATCACTAAACTACACCATCAGTGAACATCTCTTGGCGAGACTTCACGTGCATCTCCTACGTAGACCGCCTTTTGGGACTAAACGAAACTGAGTGAACGATAGGTAGACTACCCTTCTTGGTCTTCAGTATCATAATCACGGAACACAGATGGCTCATTAACTAGCCTAACCGATGAATAATATAATTGAGAATAGTGTCTTCCTCAACCAAATAGTAGACAAATAACCAACAAATGATGTCTTCATAGAATTATGTGGCTTTTGTACGCTCCTTGTACTCGTCCACGACACCATTGTAATCTTGAGGGGTGTACGGGGACGTCAGCTCAGCGTAAAAGGACGGTTTGCGACGATTCTTGATGCCAAGGTCTTTGAGCAGCATATCAACATAAGGAACGCCTTCAAACACGAAGTCAGGCAGGCTCGCTCCATAGCCAGCAGGGTAGCGCCATTTACCCCACTGCGTGTGCATCATGACTTCGTTTGTAATATCCTCCTGAGACTGACTTTCTCGAACCAACTTGTTGTCAAAATAGGCAGAGATCCACACTCCCTGCATCGAAGCACAGACCGCCGTTGTAACAGAGGAGATCATACCAGCAAAGGCAATGTTGCGTTTACCAAGAAAAGCAGGAGGGACTATAAAGCGGTAGTTCCGCAGAGGCTCAGCGTTTGGGCGAGGAGGGGAGCGAAGCTTGGGCTGCTGCTTGAGCTGAGGGAACTGCTTCTTAACGCGCGCATCGAACTCGGTGTTAAGCTGGGCTTGTTCCTTCGGGCCATATGGTAGGCTAAAGGCATGCTCGCCGATGTTGGAGAACTTGACGAGCGACTCCTTCTTCCATCCTGTAGAGCAGATCATGCTATCTGCCTTGAGCCTCTTTCCGGACTCTAGAAGAACTTGGCCGGGCTCAAGACGCTTGACGTTGTCGATGTGGACGCGAATCCTTCCATCACGGACCAAGTCAAAGAAATCCTTGTTGAAGTTAAGAATACTGAGACCACTGCCAATCCAGAAAACGTCATACCACGGCTTTAGTTTCTTGGTCTCTGGGTGGTTATCATAATTGATCTGGTTCAAAACGTCGTTGCCCATTGATCTCCAAAATGCACGCACAATCATGCGTCCAAACGCCGTACCATGAAGAAAGCGCCGGATCGCACCGAAGCCATCCTCGTGGCCCCAAGGGCAGGGAGCAAACCATGTCATGAAGCGAACAGTCAAGGTCTTATCGATACGGGCTTTCATGGGCGTCACCCAGCGAGGCGCAATCCACACAGGGCCGTTCGTCTCTGGCTTGACGATCAAGTCAACCTGAGCTCCAGCATCAACCATAGCGTATGCAACATCATAGGCAGATTTGGCACCACCGACCACAATGGCATTTTTAACGCCCTTGACCTCATCCGCTCGGGAGCAAAATTCCTTGGCATGGAGCAGAGGTTTGCCAAAGCTTTCGCTGCCTTCAAAGTAAGGCATGTTGGGGGTAGAGGTGAGACCAGTGGCGACAACTATTCTTTTCGCTCCGATTTGACGCTCACCCTGAGGGCTTGCCACAGTAAGCTTCCAGCCATCCTCGCTGGTCTGCTCTACTTGACTAACTGTGCTGTTGAATTGGGTTCTCTCAAGTACGCCATGCTTCCGGGCATAATCAGTGAGATACTTGTGCAGAGTCTTGCCAGGAATGTGATCGTTCTCCTCAACGCCGTAAATGTCTTTGCTCATGGGGAAGTCAGGAAACTCGTAGGTTCCAATCATGTTGTTGGACTTGAGACCTGGGTACAGTCTGTTGGCCGACCATGTTCCTCCAACGGAGTCATTTGCTTCAAGAATCGCGACCTTCTCATCAGGGTGCGTCTCGATGTAGGCTTTGGAGGCGCCGAGGCCGAACCAGCCTGTGGTAGCTTCAGTTGGTGTGAATTCTGCATTGCGAGGGGAGCTGGAACTCACCAGAGCCAATGACGACCAAGTCATATGATTCTGACATGTTTGGATTAATGCAAGATGGATCTGATTTGGAGATAGTGAGATAGATGAGATGGATAAGATAGATTGAATGGGCAGAGAAAGTACGAATGCAAACGGCCTGGATAGAATGGGCGTCTTCTACGACATGGAATGGCCTGCTGTTCTTTTACGCCATGATAAGCTTTCCTGATCCCATGTTACACCGTTTGGGACCCCCTGCTCCAAACCAATATGTGCCATTCCCCAAGCGGTTGTTCTCGACGCCATAACTCCGAAGCATAAAATGGAATGACTAGCCTTGCACTAGTACTGCGACGACCTTATCGGAGAGAGATTAGGAGATTTCGGAAGTGGCCCCACCTTTCCAACTAGGTCTGCCGTGATTACGGAACGGTCCGAAAAGGTGGATCCGGAACCCGGTCGGGGGTCCGTAGGAGTGAAGAGAATACCTGGGGATGCTCGGCCGTGGGTTGGGCTCTCTCCGAAGCAGGACAAGCGGAATACTCACGCATCGAGAAGCTTCATTCTATACATGGCAGATCCATATTGTGGACCCCAGGAGGACGCATTTACTGCTTCATGAGAATCCGGCAATAGGAGGATAAACATTGGGCACAATTGTGCTTAACTAATTATCATGAATGGCTTGTGGAATAGCCTACTCAGTCCGGTCTTCTTATTCGTAGGTAATGTGTCCGTCAATCTGCCCAGCGTCCAATCCACCCATTATCTTGATATCTGTAGCCGTAATGTGTCTAGACGCATCGCTAAAAAGATAAATAATAGCAGGTGTAAGGTCATTTGGGTCGCTGAGGCGCCTCAATGGCGGGGCCTGGTATGGCTGTTTCGCATCCCGCTCACTCTGAGTGGCCAATACATCCCTGAACATCTGAGAATCTACGTACCCAGGTGAGATGGAGTTAACACGAATGTTGTGCTTGGCCAGCTCTACCCCGAGTGCTTTTGTGAGCATAAGAACGCCGCCCTTGGACGCGTTGTAGGAGGACATGCGGCAGCCTGGAATAGCGATGTGAGCGCACTGAGACGCCATCATGACAATACTACCAGAGGTTCCTTGCTTGATCAGCTGCTTGACCACGCGCTGGACAGTGAAAAATGTTCCTCGCACCTGTAAAGGAACGTTAGACAGTTGACAGAACCTAAGGGAGGAGGGTATGGCTTCTACATTAATTTCCTGAATGCGCGTGAACTCATCCCATGACTGGTCAACAAATGGTTTGTTGCAGTTGATCCCCGCGCAAGGTAGACATCCATCAAGCGACCCGAGGGCCTCAATGGCCTTATCGACACCAGCATTCAGGCTGTCAAGTTTGGTGACATCGGCCTGGAAGTAGAAAACATTGGTACCAAACTCGTTTTCCACGCTGGAAAATGCGTCCCTTGATTTGTCTTGAATGTCTAACACGGCTACGTTGGCGCCCATCTCGCAAAGAGACCGCACAGCTGCGTAGCCGATACCTCCGAGGCCGCCGGTCACAATATAATTGCGGCTGTGCAGCTCGAACATTGGCCGGACATTCTGAAGCTTGATGTCTGCCATAATCGAAAGCTGATGATAGATTTGTTTAAGGATATCTTGGTTGATTGAGATTGTGGTCAGAATGATTTGAGAAAAACACAGAGTATTCAAGCGAGCGGAATACGCGTGCTAACTAGGTGGACTTGAGGCTTTATGTTGGCTGGGCCCTTTGGCTTGCTCCACATACTCTTCGGATGTCTGTTTGAGAGCCGTTGCACCGTCCGTCATTCCGTATTCTCCGGTAAAGTCCGGATCGACAAACTCACACCAGCTTGTGACCGGCACTGGGACGAATGAATGGTGAGTGCTGCCGACTCATGCCCCTACTATCATCTTCTTGTCTCAGTAATCAGATCTGGAGACTGTCACGCGTCTACAACCATGAGTCAAGAGACTTGCAGTTGAAATATTGGCCTATATGCTATAATAAAGAAAGACTCCGTCAAATATATCATCCCATCCCTGATCAGACTTTGCGAAGACCAAACGCGAACATCTCATTCGACTCGACAGCATCTTTATCCCGTAATTTATTAGCAGTCTCCACACCAGCGATAGGGACGCGGTATTCCAATTTCTCTTGACCCTGCGCATTGGGCACTAGATGAGGGTATGGTAGGTAGGAAGGCATTAAACCCAACTGCGCTAGCACTGTTCCCTGGTCCCAACAAATATGTTCGTGATAAAGCCGGTCTCCACGGATGTTAACAACAGCGGTGAACGGTATTTCAAGCTTTCGCCCCGTGGGAGGGATCCCTGGTGCACTAGTAGAAGAAGCGTCAGTTGGCATATTCGCGAATGAGTGGATTAGTTTGTGAGACATACAGCCAGTCAATCTGAGAATGATGAGTGCAGATGAAAATAAACTCGTCGATGACTCTATCGATACCAACAGATCTGCTAATGAGGCAGGTTTCTGTATCTGGAGGATTCTGGAAAATGAAGTGGTCGCGGTAGAAGGCAGTTAGCTTCTCCCGGCCGATCCCACCTGTCATCTGGGTATTATGAGTCAGTTGACATTGGTCTTTAGACCAAGGTGAAAGGGAGAAAGGCGATTACCGTAGGCACATGATTAACATATGGCTCTTGTACCATGGTGCTCATGGTATGCTCCACGGAGCGGTTTTCGAACTCCCAATAGGTATGTTCGTCCCAAATAACTTCTAGATCAAAGTAAGGACCGTCCATAAGAGGTTTCAAGAAGCTAAGACTTCGGCTGTGAGAAATAGACTCCATGTTGTAGCTGTAGTCTTTGCTGAAAGGAGTGGCGAACAAGTACGATGTTGCTTCCGGGTAGTTGTAAGCCGTCACCGCCCTTGTACGTTGCAAGCGTTTGGAGGCACTCCCAGCAAGATGATGCAGCTGTGGGACTTTTGAGGACGCGATTACAGAAGTCTCGCCATCCCCAAGATCGCCAAAAATGACAGCACCTGAGATCTGTGAGAATGAGTCGACATGGGGAGCTATTTGGTTCCAAAGCACTGTCGAGTATGCTACAAGGAGGCCTATTAGCTCGCCAGTCCTGTTCTTCTGTTAATGTTTGATAAATCAAGACTTACCTATGATACCAACGACGTTCTTAGGCTCAGTGGACATCGCAGCCTCGAGCTCCTTGAGCGCCTGACTGACAGCTACATCAGGGTTGGCAAGTCCTGCCTCTGTAATTTCAGCGATAGTGTAGCCCTCTTCTGCCCATTTCATCAACGGAGACGGCACACATCCATCGATCCGCAATGCATCACTGGTGGCTTTGCCAGTCTCGGGCACGAGGATGATTAGTCCTGGTCCGAAACCCCGCCTGCTAAGCGGCTCCAGGATTGTAAGGCTGGCTGTAGGGTTGCGCAGGCGAGTAGCTGGGAGAACTGGAGGCGCGGAGAAATTATTTTCCATCATGATCAAGACTAGTGAAATTATGCAATGAGTTTGTTAGGATTTGCTACTGTACTTGGCGTAGAACGTAAGAGGTTTGCTATTATTGTGCTTCAGGGTTTGCTTTATGAAGGCGGAGTCTGTGTCACCTCGTGCTATACGGATGTACGGTTCAATCAAATCGGATATTCGGCCTTCCCATTCTCGAACAGAGAGGCAACATCATTACAGGGCCTGCTATCTCCTTCCTCAGTTTGACTCCCTTGTTTTCGCCGTCAAACCTGATACAGTTGTTCCGCGCCAAGTACAGTGGCGGCGTGGCCACTGGAGCCCGGCCTTCAGTGGACCAGACAAGGTTCTACGGATCGCAGTTCCGTCGCATATATGATATGAAAAGACTTTCCGTAGCTCAGGTCGTTCCGCTCGGACATGATTGGAGATGCAATTCAACCAGTCAGTGCTATACCCCGCTTCTTTCGGCTATCATATTCCACCCGGCTTATTTTCTATCTGCGTGCACTGAATAAGTTATTTTGCATCACCTTAATTAGAAAACCCGAGATGCGATTATGGCAAGATTATTCTTTAGGTTAGATGTGCACTGAGCTCCTGACTAGAATTGATCCGTGGGGTATAAGGCTAATTGGACGTTGGTTCTAAGATTATCATTGCTTGGCATCAGATGCATTTTCATAAGACAGTCTAACAAATAAACGAAAACAAGAGTATAGTAAATTATTATAAGAACTATAAAGTTAAAAGCCCCAAGTATTATTTAACTATATTTATCCTTAACTTATATTTCTCCTACTATATTATCTTATAACCTAATCTAATCTATTACTAACCTACTAAGCTAGCCTTAGTCTATTAATATTTATAGTTTTTCCCTAAATACTAAAACCTTCTTTTCTTAATTTACCTTTTTCCTCCTTTTTTCCCTCTTACTTCCTCTCCTTTACCTTATAATAGCCCTTAATTCTTATAATAGAATATTTATACTATTAATTTAACTAACTTAATTATATATTTTAAGTCTATAAACTATACCTAATATAGGCTATTATTACTACCTAATATAATACTATTAATAAAGGCCTACTATTACCTTAATATACCTTAACCTTATTCTAAGTAATTAGCTAGGTCTTTTAATACCTCTATCTAGCTTATAATATATTTAATAAGGGATATATCTTCCTTAATATTAAGAAGCTATATTTAATAATTAAAGATTATTAAATTAACTTATTATATTAATAGTAATTTATTAATATATAATAGGTATTTTCTTATAATTTTATAATATTATAAAAAAAAATATAAAATAAGAATATACTTAAACTTAAGCCTATTAATATCTATTAGGGGACTAATTATATAATTATTAATTACTAAGATTAAATAGCTATAGCTAGGTTAATTATTATTAATAATAATTATATAGTAATATATCTTATAATAAAAGTTAAGGTTCCTGGCTTATTTTAATATAGCCTTTTAGTATTAAAGCCTTAGTAGTAATTACCTTAATAAGATAATAATAAAGAGGGTATTTAGCCTTCTAAAAATAAAGAAAATATCTTCTTTATACTTATAAATTAAGGCCACTTATTTAATTAGATCTTAAGGTTTAAGGCAGTAGCTATATAATCTGCTAAGACTTAATATTAAGGTTATTATATTTTTTAGTATAGTATATAATACCTTATATTATATTATATTAAAAATAAATACCTTATTTTATTATCTTACTTTAATACCTTTGGCTTTACTTTATGCATTACTAGATAGGCATTTTAACTTTAAAAAAAAGTTAAAAGCTATTTAGACTTTAGACTCTTATGGCTAGTTTCCTTAAGTGGTGGAGATAAGGACGTTAGATAGATGATAATATCCAGAGGGTTTCGGCACGACTTATTAAGAGAATTAATCATATAGATAGTCTGTTCAGCTTACTTATCCTAATTGTGCCATCTGAAGTCCGGGTGTCGCCATTCAAGGTCTTGGATTTCTGACAAAGTCTTCCCAGCCAATTCTCTCTCCACATTCACTCCAGACCTTCTCTTGTTACTCCTCTCAATCGCGAAATACATACAGACACCAATCAGAAAGATAGCAGATTGTGCTGCCAGATTCAAACCGTTACCAATGCGATATTCGGGTCCATCGAAAGGGAGAAATGCCCAAGTTGATACCAAACCTCCAATGTTACCAAGCATCACGTTGAAGGCGACCGCAGAAGACCGAGAAGTATCTGAAATGACGTTTGCTGAGACGTGGGCATTGGGGAATGCTCCCAACGCGAAGATGCCGCATACGGGCAAAAACGTTGCCGCATAGCGCACATGTGGGTTGGATGTTGCCAGAAACATGCTGTACCCTACCATTGAGAACGGTGCACATATGATAAGGAAGATGCCGCGCTTGTCCAGCTTCCAGCTTGTATAGCAGAATAGCATGCACATAATCGTGCCCAGGACGTTTGGTGGAACTGTGAGGAGCTGCTGGTTCTGGACAGAGTGCTGAGGAAAGATTGTGCGAACAATGGTAGGGAGAAAGAAGGACAGGCCATGTACAGTGATGAAGTTGAAGAAGGATATCACGGCTGTTGGCAGCACCACTGGGTTCAGGATGCCTCGGAGCATTCTCTTCGTACCAAACTTGTCGATAATCTCGGTTGTTCCGACTCTCTCTGACATGATTCTTGCATTTGCTAATTTCTTTTGCTCCGATGATAACCAGGTGGCAGTTTCGACCCTATCGGTAAGCGTGAAAAAAGAGATCACTCCCACTGCACAGGTCACAGTACCTTCAATCGCTTGGATTAGCATTGCTTAATCATCAAGATATGGGTAGACGCGGGCTGTCCAACCTTCAATCGCAAAGATCATCCTCCAAGAATGCAAGGAGCCGAAGCTTTGAAGACGCAAAATGGCAGAGGCAAGCAGACCCCCAAATGCACCCGCCAAGGACGCCGAGATGATGACGAACGAAAGCCGAAAGGTCAGTTCACTGCGTCGATACCAACGCGAGAGATAGTACACGTTCGCCGGTAGCATGGCCGCTTCGAAGACGCCAAGTAAGAACCGGAGCCCGCACAGAGTCGAGAAGTCATGGACGAAGGCCGTGCAGGTGGTGCAGATACCAAAGCCGACACAGCATGCAGGTATAAACCAGCCCGGCCCTATCCGCTTGCACAGGAGATTCAGAGGGATCTCAAACAAGATGTAGGAGATGTAAAAGATGGAGAGAGAAACGTTAAAGTCGTAACCCTGCATCTTCAGGTCGGCCTCTAGACCTGCGATCTTGGCATTGCCTGCAGAGTTATGAGAGATATGCTCGAGAGTAGGTGTCTTGATATACTCACCAATGTTTGCGCGATCAATAAAGCAAAGCACTGAATCGTGAGTGTGTCAGCTACGCCTTGTCTACGGCTTTGGATTCTCGGGGCGTACAGTAGATAATTGTAACCGTGGGAAGTATACGAAGATCCATCTTCCATCGAAGCTTGGACTCCAACGCTTGGTCGACAGATGGCGCTGGTTGACCATATCTGTAACTCGTGTTTAGTACTCTCTCTTTCCATCCATATTAGATTTATCTTAGTATCCTACTGGTGCACTGTGCCCTCCTCAATGTCTTGCGTGTCTGGAGACTTCTCGAGGGAGAACAGGGTTTCTGGTTTGGGATGTGTAGGCGACGGCTCCATCGTAGCAACTAAGGTACAATGCACTAACTTCGGCGAGTAAAGAATAAAGGTTTAGAGTGTGGCGCTGATCTAGATTTTGGCAGCTAATAAATATGGGATTCACGTGTCGCAAATGGTTCATGTACCTATAATGAAATACGGTTATCACCATTCCGATGCGACGGAAACAAAATTTACGACGGACTTAGTCAATATGCCAGGTATTCTGAGCATCACACACCCGTTCGAACAGGGGTTTACCCGACATGCAGTCGGATAAAGGAAGGCGGAAGACCTTGTCTGCTAAATGAGGGAACGTCACGTTTTTATTACTCTCCTTTCGGCACTATTTGGTGCCATAGTTCCGAAGCTTAGGAATAAGACAGGAAATGTAGCAGAACTCCTCCCTCTCGCTTCCTATACTGCATATGCAATTTCTGGTTTACAGAGGCAGATGAAGTAAAAGTCCCTATAAATGCAAATCCTCGGCAAGAACCTGAAGCGGCATATGGTGTATTTTATTATAGAACTCCTGTGTAACCCTTTCGTACTTGTCCTTTTTGTGCTTCTTATTAGGATTTGAGGTTTTCTTCTCTAAAGCTTTCTTAGTGCCTTTATTCGGGGTATTCTTGTTATTGCTCTTTTTCTTGCTAGGAGGAGGTATACCAAGGACCCCTTGATCGGGTGGATACTGCTTTTCTAGTTCCTTATGTTCCTCGTTCAACGGCTTTGGCGCCGGGCATTCCTGTCTAGCAAGTCATCTTCGTAGCCAGTATCGACTTGATAATCCTCGATCTCATATCCGCTTTCTGGCGTGTTATACATCAGATCCCAGGTGTAGATGTTGATGTTAGGCAACTTGCGTAAAAGAGACCAATATACTTGCTCTGTCAGATGAATGCGATGTAAATGGCTGTCTTACTATAACGGCCTCGTTGGTCTATGTTGACGCCAAGTATCTCCGAGATTAATTCCATGCCATCGATATAGTCTAATGTAGCTGCCCAATGAACCAGGTTGCGTCCTTCTATGCCTCGCTGATTTGGATCGACTCGGCCGCTTTGCAGTAGTAGCATAGGTAATCCTTGAAGCCTGAATCTGCAGCATCCTGAAGAGATGTCCTACCTAGACGTTCCTTCAGTATGAGGCTGGCACCTCCTTCAATGAGCATTCGGTAGCTATTGAGGTTGCCTAGTCTTGAAACATAGTGCAATTCGCTGCGGCCCGAGTGGTCTATCTGGTCTATGTTGAGTGTCCGGCCACTGCGATGCAAGCAAGTACTCATAATAGCATCACGGTCGTTCATAGCCGAGTGATGAAGGACTCCCTTGCCTGACATGTTAAGATGAAAGCCCCAGGTTCTGGTACCCGCAGGTGGCCAACAACCGTTGGCATATATCTTTATCGCCGTGGATTGCTACGAGAACGAGCGCGTTGAGATGGACTCCTCTCGAAATTGGAAAAGCCTCTGAATGTTCAATTAGCACCAACGCCATTGTCTTAAGCCCCCAGTGAGTAGCCAGACCCAAGAGTGTTTAACCTAGCCTATGAATGCCCGACTATCTAAGGAGCATCTATAAGACTAAGTTAAAGATTATCAGCATCAGTAGTATAAAGAGGGTTAAATAAGTTATAAGATATATTATATAATAAATTTAATAAATTAGCTAGATATTAATATACTATTAATATAAATAAGAGTTATAAGTAAATTTATTAAGATTATAAAATACTAATATTTTTTAACTTAAAATTTATAAATAAAGCTTATATTATATATTTATAAATAAAAATAATTTTTTATATTTTATATAAAAGGTTATTTAAGTCTTTTTTTTTTTTTATTTTATTTTTTTTTAAGTTTATAAGTTAGCCTTAGATAATATATTTAAGCTTTTTTAAAGTTTAATATAATTTAAATATTTATTACCTCTTAGTAGGTAAAGCTTTATAAAGTTAATATTATTATAATTAACTACCTTAATTATAGCCTAAACCTAACTATATATAACCTGGCTAAAAAGCCTTACTTTTTAGGTAGCCTGAATTTTCTTTTTATAACCTACTTTAAAGGCTACTTTTTTACTAACCCTTATAATATACTTAAATTATTTATTATATAATAAGTAATTTAATTTAAATACCTTTTAATTATAACTATTAATAGTATTATAATTATATTATAATAATACCTATTAAAAAAAGCCTATAAGCACCTAATATTAATAAGCCTTATTTAATAAAAACCTATAATATAATAAAAATAATTAAAAAAGCTTTTATATAAAATAAAAAAAAACAAAAGTAATATATTTTATATAAAAACTATAAAAATTAAAAATACCAAGGATTATAAGGATAATATTAATTATATTAAGCTAATAGTCTTTAATTATAAAGTCCTCTTACTTACATAGCCTTATTATAAGTTAATTAATAAAGGCTTTTTTAATCTTAAGATAAAAAAACTTAATAAATTAAAAGGGAAATTACATATAAAGGTAAATTTAAGCTAGAAAGAAAGAAAGCTTATTAAGGCACTTTATAGCAGCTTATATAATAAGTAGCCTAAGGCTAGCTAATAATAGGCTAAGAAGGTATTAAAGAAGATTAAGCCCTTATAATATATAAACTAGGCTAGCCATAGTCTTAGACTATAAGAGTATAATATAGTATTTATAAGAGGAAAATATATATATACTTATAAAGAGGTAAGACTGTCTTATTCTAAGATCCTTAATATTAGTTAAATTAGGTAATTCTAGTTATCCATAACGCCATTTTGGATAAAATAAATAACCTAGTTATTAGTATAATTAATCCATCTGCATTTAAAGGAAATAGGTATAAAAAGCTGGAAAAGCTCGAGTGGTGTTTGGGGAAGATATGTAATATTGAAATCACGATGCGGTGCGGCTATTATGTCATTAAAGAGAGGTTAGGTACTTATGTGCACCTGCACTGAGCCTTGATGACAAAGTATTACCAATTCGTCCGATTACAACACCAGGTTAAACAAGGAAGGAATAACTTAGCAGAAACATCATTAAAGGACCTGTGCTATGGCAATGCAAGCCCCCTGTCTTTACGGGACGACCAATAGAATTAAAGATCCAGGGTTTTCGCGACGTCGGATACAGATACCAAATTAGGCCTCACCTATCATCTTCGTCCTGTTAATGATAATCTTAAGAATATAAATAGCTGTTCATTTCCTGGTTCTCTGATAATACCATCATCAACATCAAGCACTTCACTTTACTGCAATCAACTTCACGACATGCGATATCATCACTTGTTGGCCTTTTGTGGTAGGAACCCCTACAGCATCTTCATTCATACTGATCTAACCCATATCTCACATCTTAGGGCTTTCATTAGCTTCGGCCTTTTACGAGAATCCTCAACTCAAAGCCGACATACGCGCTGATACCAATCGTGACGGAAAGATTGACCTCGAGGGCACTTCAGACGTCATTGGCAAGACCAAATGGACTGAAGCTTCCGGCGCCATTTTCCTCCCTAACATTGGCGACACAGATCGACGATGCTCCAAGAAGGCTCTTAGCGGCCCAGCTTTGAGCAACGAGAAACTCGATGACTGTAACGACGCTTCCGATAATATCCAAAGAGCACCTCACTACCTGACTCCTCTCAAGACTGTTCCGATTCCATCTGCTTCCAAGAATATCAAGGGTACTGTCACGGTCCCTGATGTTACCCAGCGGAAATTTGTGCGTATCTTCCGCAAAGAGGGCAAAAGCTGGATCTATGTTGATGAGAAGCATACCTTTTCTCAAAAAGAACTGCAAGCTGGACTCGAGCTCGGTATCGATGCTCGTGATACTAGACGCCCAAAGGTTTGGGACGGACGAGTCACAGTTGAATTCAACTTGCATGACGGAAACATCAAATCTTCCGACAAGGTCATGCTACGCGTTGCCCCTGTCCTGACGCATCACCACCTCCAAAAGGTCGAACAAGTCCTCGCTGTTCAAGGAAACAAGACTGACGGACCATACCTGGTTAACTTCACGGAAACCCTCAGCTCAACAGTCAAAGCGGCCGGTCTTAACAAAGAACTGTACCTCTTTAATGCAAGTGATGATATCTGGGCTCAAGACTTTGTAGAGCCTGGTTACGCAAGTATGCCTGGTCCCAAGGGAACAGTCTCGATTCGAATCATGATCCGATGTCCCCAGGACGAACGTGTGGCAGGTCGACAGCTTTTCGAGTATTATCGCAAAGCGGGCGTTGGTGCAGTGCAGCACCTTGGCGGAAAGCGTGATGAGATCAACTCTGGCGGTAACATTGAGGCCATTCCACCTTATTCCTTCAAAGGAAAGACTTGGCCTGCTGGACGCGTTATCCTTGGAAACCATGGCAAGCAGAAGCATCATATTCTGCCTTACCTTGAGGCCCAAGAGTCACAGAATCCTCTTCTTCTGGACACCGCATGGCTTGCCATCGGTCATGTTGATGAGTTTCTTCAATTTCTGCCTGCGAAGAATGAACGAGGCTGGGTTGCCGTGATTGACGATCCCCGAGCCGGTATCAAGCTTCTCGAGGATACACGCAAGACAGGCCATGGATCTCTCCCAGCCATTTCACGCAAAAACGATACCAACTCGAACCATGGTGGTGACTGTGGAGGCTTTATGTGTGGACCCATCCCCGTCAACTCGCCCACCATCACCCAATTTCTTGCCGATAAGAAGCTCATGAAACTCAACGAACAATGCGCGGAGCGAATCGACGCCAACATCAAGATCCTTATCAAGGAAATTGGGCTCACCGACGAGGACATCATCCGCATCCCATCCTTGTTCAAGGCTAGTGAATTCCCGGGCGCTGACAATAAGAGACTCCAAGTCGGTGCTTTTTTCCCTGGTGTGGTTAACAACCTGGTTCTTACAGGCTATAACACTTGTATTGCCCCTAATCCTTGGGGTCCTGTTGTTAAGGGGAAGGATATTATTGCTGAAGAGATCAGGACTAAGTATGCCAAGATTGGACAGAAGATCAAGTTCCTTGATGACTGGAATACTCACCATAACTTTGGTGGCGAGGTTCACTGTGGTAGCAACTCCATCCGTGATATGTCTGCTCGCTGGTGGTGAGCGACTATCCCAGCTTTGCAGTGGATATTACATTGTCTTCTATCTGCTATCGAGTTCTTCTTGGAACACTTAGAGCCTTGGTACATCGTTTAGATAGTATTTGTTGAATGTGTTATCTATTTCATCTCGGTGCAAGAGACCATATGCGCAGGGCTGAAGTGGCAATCAGTTGCGCCTTAGTGATATGACCAGAATGTCTTAAGGCATGTATCTAAGTCGGATCGCTTCGCTAGTCGAGCATGGAATGATGTTTAGTTGCTGTGATTTTATCTAATTTTTGCCGGGCTCGTCGCAATAAGTTTCAACTATGGATTTCCTGCCAAGCCCCTGTTATAGAGCTAGCAGTAAGTCAGACTAGATATCAAACTCACATAACACCTACTACTATATTATTCTTATTAAGAGATACTTAAAAACTTAATAAATTAATAAGTAGTTATTTTTATTATATAAGTATATATAATATAAATAATAAGTATATATTTTTTTAAGTTTATAAGTTAGCCTTAAAAGGTATATCTAAGTATCTCTAAAGTCTAATATAATTTAAATATTTATTACCTCTTAGTAGGTAAAGCTTTATAAAGTTAATATTATTATAATTAATTGCCTTAATTATAGCCTAAACCTAGCTATATATAACCTAGCTAAAAGGCCTTACTTTATAGCTAGCCTTAATCCTCTTCCTATAATTTACTTTAAAGACTACTTTATTATTAACCCCTATAGATATTATATTTAAATTATCTACTGCCTAATAAGTAATTTAATCTAACTTATAATTATAACTACTAATAGTATTATAGCTTTACTATTATAATACTTATTAAAAAAAGCCTATAGGCACCTAATCTTAATAAGCCTTATTTAATAAAAGACTATAATATAATTTATAAAATTAAATAAGCTATTAAGAAAGATAATTATAATAAGGTTTATAATATAATAATAAAAATTAAAATAAAATAAAAAAAAAAAGATAATATTAATTATATTAAATTAATAATCTTTAATTATAAAATCCTCCTACTTATATAATCTTATTATTAGCTAATTAATAAAGGATTTCTTAATTATAAGATAAAACTATTTTATAAGCTAAAAGGAAAGTTACTTAAAAAAATAAATCTAAGCTAAAGGGAAAGGGAATTTATTAAGGCCCTTTATAATACCTTATATAATAAGTAGTTTAAGGGTATTTAATAATAGGCTAAGAAGGTATTAAAGAAGACTAAGCCTTAATAATATATAATCTAAGATAAAAAAGGGATAATTATAAAGTTTAAGAAGAAAATATATTAAGTTTTATATAAGTTTAACTACTTAAAGTTAAAAGCTATTAGTATTAGTAGTATAAAGAGGATTAAATAGGTTATAAGATATAATATATAATAAATTTAATAAATTAGCTAAATATTAATATATTATTAATATAAACAAGGGCTAAGCTAATATAATAAAAAGAAAGTTAAATTAAATTATATATTATTAAAGTATAATAAATAATTTAAGTATAATATTTATAGGGATTAGTAATAAAGTAGCCTTTAAAGTAAATTATAAGAAGAAGATTAAGGCTAGTTAAAAAGTAAGGCCTTTTAGCTAGGTTATATATAGCTAGGTTTAGGCTAAAATTAAGGTAATTAATTATAATAATATTAACTTAATAAAGCTTTACCTACTAAGAGGTAATAAATATTTAAATTATATTAGATTTTAGAGATACTTAGATATACCTTTTAAAAAGTAAGGCTCTTTAGCTAGGTTATATATAACTAGGTTTAAGCTATAATTAAGGCTGCTAATTATAATAATATTAACCTAATAAAGCTTT